CCTCTGTGAATGAGCTCCTTGATGTTATGGTCGTAGTCGTGGTGGAACTAACAATACTTGGAATAATCTCTGAGCTCACGTGGAGTCTTCATCGGGTTGGGGGCCCTTAGAAGTCCCTTCTCCCTGATTTGGAGGAAGATCTTCATTATGGACAAGCTCAGGGTGTGAGGAGGTGGTCTTGGCGACGACGGTTCAGGTCGATCGAGCTTCCTTCTTGGTGGACCCGAGGGCTACCCTTGGGATTGCTCTGTGTGAGGTCTCTTGTGTTCTTCGCGTTTCCTTGCCACTAGGGCCTCAGCAGTAACGTATTGGTTCGCACATTGGAGCATCTTGGGAACAGTCGTTGTTGATTGTTCGATCAATAACCAAAAGAACCTAGATGGATGCAGTCCCATCAAGAATGCTTGCATGATCAGAGAGGGGTGGGCATATGGGACTCCTCAGATTTCAGCGGCGAAGCAGGTGATGAAATGAGAAAGGGGTTCGTCATCCTTTTGGCTTAGGCCGAGCAGCATGGCTGCGGATGGTTTCGGCTATGCACTGGCTAGGAAATTGAGTTCAAATTCTCTTGCAAGCTGATCAAAAGATGATATGGAGGCTGACTTGAGTCGTGTGTACCATATATGAGCCGAACCCCAGAGTGTGGTCAGGAATGCTCAGCACATCAGAGCATCATACGTGCCTTACAATATGAGCTCGGAAGGCAGCGACATGTTCCATGGGGTCGGAGCCACCATCGTAATCTTTGAGTGCGGGGAGGCGGAAACTCAACGGGATCGGTTTGTCTTGAATCTCCTGCACAAAGTGAGATCCTACCACGGAGGGTTCCTCGAGCTCTTCTTTGGACTTACGGAACTCCTTTTGGACCTCGTCCAGATGCCGATTAACTGAGTGTAGCTAAGCCTAGAGAGAGTCCACCGAGTCAGATGATAGGGTGTCGAGCTTAGGGAAGCTTAGGGTGGGGCGTCGGGGACTCAGGGCACTGTGCTCCGGGGTAGGCCTCGGGTTTCCTGACCGCTCCTCTTGTGGCAATTCGACGCCCGTTAGTTGGGGTTGTTGAGGAGCCGGGGATGGCACTCGTGGTTCAGGAGTAAGAGTCGATGGGTCCTGTGGTGGCAACGACAGTTGGGACAGCACCGGTTGTTGGGCGTACTAGGGGGAGGAGGGGAATGATGGCCTACATCATCCCTGCCAAGGTTTGGACTTGGTGAGTTAGGCCGAGGAATACCTTGGCTGAGACGGGAGGCTGTCCCACGGTGGTCCCGAGAGGTGTTAGCCCGAGATCATTAAACAACTGCCAATAGTGGCTCAGAGTTACGGTGGTGGCATTCCCCTCTAAGCTCGGGGGAAGTGAAGGCTGTCCTCCACGACCAAAGGTCGGATGACCTATGAGTGGCTCTTCTTTGGGACATTCTTCAAAGTTGCTCGGCGGGGCATGTTCTTACGACATCGGGCCCTCCTTCTAGCGCTAAAATATTAGTGTACCTTTATGTCGTGGCCGAGGAGTCAGCTTAACTTGGTTTGATCCCAGATGTCCAAGGGTGCTTCACGCAAGAACTTTGGTGGCCGAAGGGGACGTCGGGTTGGGTTGGACTGCGAATGTCGCCGCCTGCTTCTGTGTTGCCTGCCCCTACACTCAGGTCGATGTCGGGAGGGGGATTTCCCAACTTTCCCCTCTCGACATCGACCTCTCCGAAGCTTGAGTTAGCTTTTGATGGAATGAGAGAGAGTTCAGTGTCTTTTCCCCTCCCCCTTTTCGGTAAGAGGGTTGGCTTTTTATACCTACGACGGGGCAGTCAATCGTACGTGATCCTTTAATGACCGTTGACTCCTCGAGAGGATGACTTGTACCTTGCAGCTAAACGTCGCTTGACCTATATGGGTCGGCGCTACGTGGCGCCGTGCGACGCCGTCCCGAGTTTTACGGAATGGCCCTGGGATGTCCGACGTCGTTCGGGTCGATGCCGTTCGATGCCATCTCATATTTCGTGGAGCGGCTTTGGGATGTTCGACATCAACGTGTATGATGCCGAACAACGTGGAGGTCGCTTGGACGCCTTGTTCGGGTATGAGGTGTCATTCTTCATTAGCTCGGAGGTCCTTTGTTTACTGCTACATAGATGGTGTCAAAATGTGCCATATCACTAATAATTACTGAACTATATGAATTTTGTAGATCAATGCCTATCGATATTTATTGATGCAACAATGTTCCTCGTTAAAATATAGAACATGTTCCTCGTTTTAAAGATATTTATTGATGCCTATGTGAGATTGCTATTGGACCATATAAATTGACAACAATCGATTGTCTGGTACATATCGCCATCATACCGACAGCTTATGTATATAAAATATGCATCATGTTCCTCGTTACTTTTATCACAATCGACGGATCCCGGTTGCCTTTTTTTGTCCATTTCACTTGCTAAAAGATCTATCTTGGTATTTATTATCTTATGAAAGAAAGGAAATATATATATTTTTAAGCACATTTATGTTGTTTATATTACTATATAAAATATAAATAATAATATGATCGATATCTCATTATCACATGTCCGACACTTTAATATCACGAGAATGACAAATAATCAACGGTTTAAGGTTATGATACATTTGAGAAATGTGATAAAACTATAAAAAGATTCTCTATATGCATTTCTTATACACTAGAGTATAATTTCAAATTTTATTTTGAATCATTTGAACCTCAGAACATCAAAAAGGTATATGTTAAAAACACTCAATATAGTTTTATAAGGTTCGACATCCTCAGGATGATCAAGATAAGATTCAATCAATACCAAGCTGGGATATAGATTTATAAGTTTTTTTACAATAATTTTTTTAAGCATCCTTAAACTTAATTTTTGCACAATAATAAAATGATAATTTATCAAAAAAATACCATCCATGATTTATCATTATCTGGAGCAGTTCTTATTTTGAAATAAAGAGGCAGCCTAAGATAATAAAAGGACATGTATATTCTTATTTTTATTATTATATTATTTTATATGGTAGGAATGGAAATATATTCAATTTTTATTTCAAATTATCAAATCATCTAAAAATATAAAAAATAACAAAATTATTATTTATATCATATTTATCTACTATATTAAAATAATAAAATTATCAAGTTGAGTTCTATTACAATATCAATATGAACATATGTGTGTGTGTGTGTGAAGCATTTCGACTATGGTATCATTATTGTTTCATATGTATCATAAGTATTATATAATAATAATAATAATAATAATAATAATAATAATAATAATAATAATAATACTTATATATATGATATTATATTACTTTATATATGTTTCTATTATATATACCACAAGGATTATTATAATGTTTGTATGGTATGAATGTGAATCTATTTATTTATTTTAATTATAAAGTATTTTTATTACGTTAAATGACGTTTATGACAATTATACATGGACGAATCTATTAGTATCCTAATTAACTCAGATGTCTCAATAGAGACGAATCTATTCAAATTTGATTTTGAATTATCAAATCATCTAAAAATATAAAAAAAATAAAAATTATTACTTTATAATATTTATCTACTATATTAAACGATTGAAGTAAGTTAGATATATTTTATTGTGTTTTACTCGTAAATGAATCGTGTTACATCTGATCACAATATCAATTTGAACAAATATCACATTTGACTTAAAAACTCATAAAAACACCTAAAAATAAAAAACCCAATTGAATATATATATATATATATATATATATATATATATTTCACATTCATAAATGAATTATGTCATATTTAGTTATGCAATCATATATAACATACTTCATTTCGTAAGTGGCAAATAATAAAATTTGTTCAACTTATTCTATACTTTACGCATCAAAAGAAATTATAATAAAAATATTTATTATATTTTTTGTAGCTTTTATTGATTTTAAATATATTTTTACTAATTTAACACGTCTCCGTCTTAATTCTATGACCCAATGTAATATAGTTCATTTTTTGTTGTATAATTGTAAAGCTTATTTAGCTCATCTAAATCTTTCACGATCAAAAGAGAATATGATATAAATAATTAGTTGATTATTATTTTATGATTTTTTTAAATTTAATTTGATAAAAGATGAACAAATTTGATTATCTAATTTAGGATTAATTATAGATTATCCATATAGTTAGTTATTTTTAATATCTCGATCTATATACTTTAATAAGTTATATTGACATTCCTATAATTACAAAAGTAAAATAATTAAATCTATTTATCCTAACGACGTCAGTTGACGAAAACATGAAAACAAAGACTAAAAAGATAATTTTAATCTTTGATGGTGGACGATGTCAATGGCCGACGACGATGCCACTGGCGTCGATGGTGGCAGACCCCTTCCCCTTATTATATCGATGTTCTCTATCATCGAATACTAAAATTATCTTTTTACTATTTATTTTAATATTTTTATCGATAAAAATGATATTATTAGGATAAATAAACCTAATTATTTTACTTTTATAATTATAAAAATACCAAATATAATTTTTAAAAAATTTAAAATTCGAATATTAAAAATAAAATTAATTAAAATAAAAATATATAATTAGCCTTTTAAATTGAATGTTTAATGAATGGGGGGATTCCAACGTCCACATAAATTCTAAAATAAAAATATTATCTATTAACAATCGACTATGGACATTTTTTTTGAAATAAATGTATGATAATAAATAAAATTAACCCCCTTTTTTTGTCTGTTCCTTTAGTTGGTCCGGCGGATATTTCGAACGCCTTTTTCTGTCCATTTCAGGCACCAAAGGATCCTCCTTTGCCTGTGTGGTAAACTGACACCACCGGCCGTCCGCGTCGCATCAAGATATTATTATTCCTGCCCAAGGCTGTTACTGCGACTGACGCAGCCACTGTGCAATTATTGCCGCGTGGGAGGCGGCAACACAAATGGGACAATAAACGCATGTGGAGTACGGTAAGAAGAATTCTTCGTGCTTATCCGCCCATAGTCTAACGTACAGTCAACCCGAGCACTCCCGGCTTTTTCCCCTCTCCTTCCTCCATCGCGACTTGATTCGTCCGTCGCTCTGTCTCTCTTTGGTGCGCGCGCGTCAACTGAAGGAAAGAATCGAGGAGGTCAACAGATTCCCATGGCCTCGGATCTCTCTCAGCTGGAATCAAGGTTTTCTCTCTCTCTCACCAGATCGCTTCTCTTAGTTCTCGCTTCTGATTTGGCGAGTACGGTGATCTTTTTTTTTTTGGCGGCCGATTGTATGATTGGATGAACTTTTCTCACACTTGACTCCGATTACCTTCGCTGTGACGCTTGTCTGGTTCTGCGAAAATTTATGAATTGGTTGAGCCCCTCATGAGGATTTGCCCCCCTCTCTCTCTCTCTCTCTGTGTAGATCTCTTATCTTAACTCGTGCTTCTGATTTCGCGATTTCTGAGATATTTTTGGGCGGTATTGATGGTCTGAGAGGATGAACTTCTCTCACGCATGAGTTCAATCGGTTTGGGATTCCGATTATCGTTGCTGCTTTGCTTGTCTCGTTCTTTGAGCCCTTTATAAGGGATTTGGTTCTTCTGTGCGCTTCTGTTTTGTCTTTGGTTATCGGGTCCTAGGGCTATTTTTACGGAGTTGATAATTTTGGTTGGGAAGAGGATGTTCCAGTTGGCTGCATCGTGAAATGAAAAGAAAATTGAGAATAGATTCTTGTCATATGTTTAGGTTAATCACCGAAATTTATGCAGAATACTGATAGGAAAGGCATGACTATTGTGTTTCAAGACCTTGGATAATGCACTATTCGATTTCTGATTTTGGTTACAAGAAGCATGGAAATATACGATTGTGTATGTCGTTGTGTTATTTGCATTCCGATTCTTTGCCTTTAGTTGTTGATCTATCTTCCTGCGTGATCTATGCGGCAGTTACTTCGGGTTCCTGTTTTAGATTCCATTTGCTTCAAGTGTTTTACGTTGGATTTAGTTGTTTTGTTCTTAGGTACCTTGATGCCTGTCACAAGCTGGAGGTTCTACCCAATTCTTCAATCTTGTCAAGTTTGTCAAAAGTAAGTTTTGCATCATATAAGATGTATTTGTTCACATCTGAAGGCTTCGATTACTATTTCACGTTCTGTTTTTGATTATATTTGGATGTACAAATTCTAAAGAAGTAACTTAACATCGTTGAGCTTATTGCGGTGGGGGTTTTAATTACAGGTTAGGGAATTCTATTTAGTTGTCAAATTTGTGATTAATTATTTTTTTAAGACTACATAAAACGCTATGTTTAAGCTTTGTTATTCCAAGAGCAACAGATCTGATCGAAGCCATTAGTGGTTGTACGAAGTACCAGTTATGAATATACTATCTTCCAAGAAAACGATGGAATTGATCATTTCGTGATTTTCTAATGTGATCACTTGATAGCATGCTGATTAAGGCTGGGAAAGGGCTCGACTGCTATCTGTTTCCTGGACTTGGAAAGGATGGGGGGACTTAATGATGTCCTAAGTATGCCCTCTAAAAGTTGTAATTCATTGAATTGAGATGTCACGAACATGTAGGGGGGCTGTTGGGTGCTTCAATAAAAAATTAGCAAGATTGGCGCATGTTACAGTAGATTTAATAACTGTGACCAGGATGAAGGATGGATGTGGTAGATATGCAGGGTTAATAGTGTGACAGCCTTGTCTAAAAAACCACCATGGGTTCTGAGAGCAGAGCAGTTTTTTATACCTTTAAAATGCTTTTAAAAAGTTTCAAAATTGTTAGACCTTCTTTTTATCATCCAACAACTTTGTTAACATATGAAACAATTATAATGTTGACTTTGCATTTATTACTAAATAAAGCAAAGATAAGAAACACCTGTTATCATGCATAGCAAAATTCAGGTATATCAGTTTAGACATCTGTGAATGGTGTTACATGGTTCAGTTGCTGCTAGTTTTTTGTTATATGTTCGTACGTACATCTGCTGTCTTTCTTATCAGTTTACTGTTCCAGTGAACATATCCCACTTAACAAATTTATCCCTAGAGTCTTAGACAGGACCTGCCTTGTCTATCTTTGCCTCTCCAAGTTAAGGGTTGTGTATGTAAACATATGAATTGCATAATGTACATATCCTGGTTCAAGGGTACCAGCATTTTCCTTTGAACTTTTTGTTTCTGACTTTTGGCAATAACAGTTATGTGCATTATGAGCTGCTACTTTTGTCTTTGGTTTTGGTCACCTGCTTTCAGTTTCATTTCCTGCTTATGAGGTCAGTGTTAGTGTCCAACTTCATCGTCATCTGGTTAAAATTTTCTAGTTCTATAAGCTTGCTCAAGTGATTAGTCCCAGAACTTATGTCTTGGTGTCCAATACAATGACATGTGCAACTACATACATACTCTTTATATCTGATAATTAGCTTGACTGTTTCTTTCATAGTTAAAAATAGGTTTTGCCTTTTTTTGGCTTGGTCCAATACCTGGTTAAGATTTGAGTATGCATTTGTATTATAAACCAAAAGGCATTAAAACTTGAAATTGGTTAAGTTGTTACCTTTTTTTCTTTCTGAAACAAACTGGTCACTTCGTTGTATCCTTTTATACCTTTTTTTTCGAGGCCCTGCATGTAGAGTCTAATGTTTACTATTTTGCTCCCAGGTTAAGCATCAGAAGGCACACTTTGAGCAATGCCATTTGGAAATCTTGATTGACCATTTGACGTCTTCGGATATTCCTCCACTTATAGATACTCTGTCAGAAATGAGTTTATCTGATATAAATGCAGTTGATTTATGCCAAAAATCATCTAATGTTTTATTAGACGGAGAAAGTCTTCTACTTCTACTTAGTGCAGTCAACCAAAAGCTTCGGGTTGTTGATCTCATTAATTCATCATTTTGGAAAGATGCTTTGCGGTATGTCATACTAAACTTCACAAGATCTCCTTTGGTATTAGAGTTCCTCTTAAAGGTCCAAATTAACAATGAAGGGGTTAAAAGTCAAGTTCAACACCAACTTTCATCCGAAATAATGGCCATTATAACTGAAATGTCCATTAATGAAGCAAAAAAGTCGTGTGTATTAAGTAATTACAACACATTGTTGTCCATTATTATCAGTCTTATGTAACTTGAACATGTATGAATTTTGAATTATAATGGCAGGTGCTTTACTTGAAAATGGGTATCTTCTTTGATGAAATAGTGATTTGAACAATAATGTTCATTGTTTTCTGTTATTTCCCACTGTAAACATGTTATAATGGACTGATCTGCTTTTGAATATATGTTCATTAAAAAGTGAAAGTCAATCAAAGTGAGCTAGTCGGTTGATAGCAGCTGTTATAATCATTGTAATGGTTTATTGCAGTTGTAGAGGTATCATTTATATTTATTATAATCAGCATCTACAACCTTGACCCAGATGAAATGTAACCAATATTTTGATTGCTAATGAAAACCAAACTCACTGGTTTTAGCTATACTATAAACAAAGTCAAAACAAATATTTACAACCTTGCTTTCAGATTATGTTGAAAGAATTTCAGAGTGGGTTATGGTGCAAATCTACTACCTAGCAAACAAAATATGTACACCAAGTAGAAATGGTTTGGATCCAAATTAAATGAAACAAAAGAACAGAAACCACATCACTTCCAGGACATGCGAGGCTTAGACTTTTTGTGTTGCCTTTTAGCATGGATAGTATCTGGGACTGCCTGATATTTTGACAAATTTGAGAAAAGTTGATGCAAGATTGAAGAAGAATAGGTAGTTTGACAATGATTGGCAATAAGATGTAATCACTGTCATCTATACCGTTATATGGCGCATTGAGGCTACTAGCTGATGATTGTATTCGCCCCTGCCAGCAACCCTATTGTCCCCTTCGTCTTTGGTGGCTGTGCTTAGGCATATGTGGGTGCTGAGGTTGAGTTCAATGGTTGCCTCACTGTCTTAGATGGCATAGACTTGTCTTTCCTTGGTGGAGGTAACAAAGAATTCAAGTATTTATTCACATTCGTCATGTGTTGTCCCTCTTCGAAACTGATCGAAGGATCTTTGCGATTTTGGTAGATAGGCATTAACTCGATAATGAAAATTTAAGTTGGACTGTTTTGCCTTAAATCGTTATCCAACTAGACGTCATATTCGTTGACTTATCAATTGCTAACCAGATTTTGTCAAAATGAAATACATCCACAGAGGCGTTCATGCATGCTAGAGGTACTGAGGTGGCATCATTAGGCCCTTTAGCTACCAAGTACAATAGTGGTTGGGCCCCTTAGCATGGCCAGTCATGGCTCCCCCTTGGATGACCAAAGATGGTTTATATGGAACTTTTTGATAATGATGATGATGCTTCAGTTATGGCTGAGAGTTTCATAATCCCCTCTTGATCACTATAAATTTGCATCATATCATATTTTATGTATGGATGTCATCACTTCAGTTATTTACAATTTGAGATATTGGACCTTAACTATTTTGTTCACCTATATTGTTCAAGTTCCCCATTAATCCATCCATGGTTTATGAACGTATGCTACTGTAGTGCTTATTCAATAGAAAACTTTGTGCATATTGCATGTTAAAGTTTCTTATGAATCTTAGCAAACATTAAGGTGTTTAAAATTGGCTGCACCTACAACTGACATGCCCCATTCTTCAGGGTCTACCAATTGCATGTCTTGAGATCTGTTAGAATTAACCAATTGGATCTTAGGGCAAGATTAACCAATCCTGATTATCATGGCCTTTCATAGCATGGATCATCAAAGGATGTTAGAAACTTGTCACTTTGTAAATGCATGTTTTGTTGGTTAGTTTCATTTTCATAGATGCTGGCATTCTGGAACTCTGTCTTAGGTAATTGGTTAGAAACTTCTTACTTTGTAAATGCATGCTTTGTTGGTATGTTTCATTTACATAGATGCTGGCATTCTTGAACTGGCTTAGGTAATTGGAGTCTGGAGTATTTATTGCATGTCAAACTTATGTTGTTCGTTGGCATAATTGGTGTGTTCTCTGTTGTTTCTAGTGATATTTGCCAGAGAGGTACAACATGCCAGATTTTGAACTTACGTTTCTCTTCTATTCGAAAGCTCAACATGATTGGGAAATTCATGCAGTTACACACACTTAATTTGGATTTCAGTGTTCATTTGACCAGTTTCCACATCAGTTGTTTTAGTTGTATGCCAAAGCTAATGCGGCTCTCGATGTGTGAAACACGAGTTGCTAATCTTTGGATGACCAGTGCTGCACTATCAAAACTTTGTTCTTTGGCAGAACTTCGCTTCCAGAATTGTTTGTGCTGTTATGATACTGGGCCATGCCCGGCATCTGGTGGAGTTATTAGACCGGGAAATGAGAAATTTTGCTCTAGTAAGCAACAATTTTCTTCTTATTATGGGTCACAGTCCATGGCTAATGAGAATATTTTGGAGCAAACTATGCCACACTACTCACAGGATACTCTTGATGGCCTTTGTTTAGAGAATCTTCTGTCAGTAAATCATAGTTTGCTTGGAAGCACTTCTGAGGAATTATCAGAAGAAAGTGATCCTGAATTTTCAAGTGATATACAAGGGATTGATAATATGCGAAAAATTTCTGATACCTTCACTGAGTTCGATGGACAGGCCAATTCAAACATCTTTTTAAGACCATCCGAACTTTCCACACCATCTAGTTCTTCAGTGCCATGTACTACCCCAATTTCTGAGATAATGGATGCAAGTGGAAGTTTAAATAATGACAATTCTTTTACTGGGCAAGCAACTCTTGGTGAATTTTGTTGTCAGCCTAATCACAGTGATAACATTTTGTTCGATGATATATTTTTTCCTAAAGATGAAGGTTCTTCAAGTGATATGTTGAATGGGGGGAGAACTACAAGGATGTCATTGAAAAATCATATTTCTAGTCATCCTTCACCCATTTGTTTTGAAAGATACTACAGAGAATTTATCATAACCTCACTGCCACGTCTAAGAGTTCTAGATAATTTGCCTATTGGGTCTCTGGAGAGGCAGGAAGCAAAAGTAATTTTTAACAGATATTTTGAGTGTGCACCATATAATAGACAATATAAAGATAGTCTTATCAATATTCTGCAGAGGCGTGAAATCAGCAGTGGTATTTTTTCCCAGAAAGCTTCTAAAGTGAAGCAACCATATTTTAGAGAAAGTAATCACTCGTTTCTCAGGTCACTTTCTGCTTCTAAAGTAAGCTCATCACCACGGCCTCATTTACATTCCATTTCCAAGTTTAGAAGTTGTTCAAATGAAGAAACAAAGAGTTTTCGTCCAAGACAATTTGAATATCACCCTACAGACCCAAGACTTATGGTCTTTGGAACATTAGATGGGGAACTTGTCGTTATCAACCATGAAAGCGAGAAACTTGTTGGTTACCTTCCCTCTGTTGGAGCACTAAATAGCATTTTAGGTCTTTGCTGGCTTAAGAAGCATCCATCGAAGGTAAGCTAACAACTGGTGAAAATAGATCTGCTGCTTTTATATATGCTGAGGTCGTCTCTTCTTTTTAATTCAATAATAGTGTGTACTTGTTGCTTCACAAATAATTGTATTTATACTCTTCTTGTCCTTCATTTTCCACATTACTGACTTGTCCTGGTTTGGGTTTATCCTGTCGCCACTAGCTCATTGCTGGCTCAGACAATGGTTCTTTGCAAATGTATGATGTTCGTCAAATGCCATCAAAGATTACTGATCGATTTTGCACAATGGATGCTTCTATGCACACATTTGATGATTTTGAGCAATTGACCTCCGTCCATGTAAATTCAAGTGATGAATATTTCCTTGCGAGTGGATTCTCAAATCATGTGGCTCTTTATGACATAGGCAGTGGAAGAAGGTTGCAGGTTTTCAAGGATCTTCATAAGGAACATATTAATGTTGTCAAGTTTGCTCATCATTCACCCACTGTATTTGTTACTGCATCCTTTGATAAAGATGTCAAGATGTGGGACTTAAGGCAAGGTCCTTCACAGCCTTGTTATACAGCTCCTAGCTCTAGGGGGAATGTGATGGTCTGCTTTTCTCCTGATGATTACTATTTACTTGCATCAGCCGTTGACAATGAGGTAAAATTATAGCACACTTCAAGATTTGTTATACTTGCAATCCTATATTGATGTAATCTTAACAAGTATTTCCAGGTTAAGCAACTACTGGCTGTAGATGGAAGACTCCATACATCATATGACATTGCTTCTACTGGAAGTGCGCAAAATTATACTCGGTCTTATTACATGAATGAAAGAGATTACATTATAACTGGGAGTTGTGAAGAGCATGTTGTAAGAATATGCTGTGCTCAAACTGGAAGGAGGCTAAAAGATGTCTACCTTGAGGTAAATTAGTGCTAAAAATTGTTTTTTTTATTGTCTGTAGCTTATAATTGATTGTCTGATTAGTTCCAAGAAAGCTAACATCGTCACATTTTGTTTTTGAATACCTAATGTGGCTTTGACTTTCAATTAAAGACTAGTGAAGATAATCTGTTTACTACTGATCCTGAATTATTTCACGTGGTTCTTTCTTATTAAAAGAAAATTGTTTCATAACCTCCAAAAAGATTTTTGATTATGTTTTGATCACTTATCTACCAATGATTACAAGGATCGTAATTTCATACCGTACCGTTGTTTCGAGTGTAGCTCGGTATGGTACGATACAAAGTACCGAGTGGTACACCAGGGTGTATCGCTCGGTATATATATTTATATACCGATGTCACCTCCTTTTTATGCCCACGTGGGGAGAAGAAATCAAGGTTTCCTTCTCCCCGCGCAAAAAAAGGCGACGAGGTGATGTCACTGCCTCGTCGCCTCGTTTCTTCTCCCTGCGACGTCGTTGAGGCTTCTTCTCCCTGCGCGGATGAGGAGAAGTCGCTAATGACGCCAAGGCCTTATCGCCTCAGATGAGGAGGCAACATCTCATATGCGACGTCCGACGAGGGAGGAGGGCGATGGATCGGGATCGTTGAGGGAGAGTGACGCCGGATCTCCATGTTCTCCCCCTTCTTTTCCCTCTTCTTTCTTCTCCCTCAGCTAATATCACCCAGTAGCGGGTGGCGACAGTTGAAATTGATCGTCATTGACCGATTTAGGGTGGTAATGGGGCGGAAGCAGCCCCACTCGATGGTACCACTTGGTAGCGGGCGGTCCACGTATCGGTTTATTGGTAGACTAGTATGTACTGCCCGATACGGGTGGTATTATTCAAAATTAAAATCCTTGAATGATTGTGTTATCACATTATATTCGTTATATCATAAGTATCTAACAAAATGTTAAACTCATTTAAGGTATCATAATAACATAATAACATGTTTATTTTAACGACATCATTGAACTGTAAAAAGCTACTCTTGATCTATAATGAAATTTCACCAAAATGGTTTAAGTTTGGTACACGATGAACATTCCTAATCGATTGTTCCATGATAAACTTCATTACAGGAACCTGTTGTATTTTTAGCTTTGATGCCTGTCAACTCTGACTTGCAGTTTGCACAATTAACTGTTCCATAACATTTAGCTTCTAAGTGTTGATCCTTGTGGGCTTGGGACAACCATGGAAGATGAAAATTGCTAACTTGTGGATTTGGGACAACTACTGAGGATGAAATTGCTTAGGCTACTTAATGTCTAATTTGAAGAGTGTCATTTTAATCTTTGTTTGTTAGCTTCAACTGCCCAATGCTTTCTAGATTTAAGTGGACGCCTCATGTTATTGTTCTTGGCAGCAGGACAGGATACATGTGTCTTGCTGCTACAAGATAGCTAAGTCTTATTATTGAGCTATTATATTACAGTGGAATAAACAGATGGAAAGAATCATGTCAGTCATTTGAACTGTTTTATTGCCCAAGAAGAAAGTCAATGAGGGCTGATTGCTAATATATAGTCTTTAGTTCTTCTGAGAAAGGGACATCATCTTGAAAAGAACCGATTACAATCAATATTGAAGAATGCATCTATTTGGAGGTAGAGTTGTCTAGATTTAGAGTTTCATGAAAAGACTGGTTTCACGTTGAGAATTATTAGTCTGTTGGAGCTTTCTGTTTCTCTTTCTGTTTTTGCATATTTAGTTGCTAATGTTGCTAACGTATTTAATTGTTTCCTTTCTTATTGGTAATTTTTACGCTTATGTGGAACTTCCTTTCCATTATAGTCTTTCAAGTTTAGTACCCTTGGTTTTTGATTCAAAATTTTCTTGATCTTCTTTGGATTATTATATCTATTTAAATTATATTTCCCTTATTCTTTATATAAATGTATATATAGTGTAGTTTCTTGGATGGTATATAGCAGCTGTGATATGCTTAGCACACTATATTGATATCGAGCCTTCTTAAAAAAATTTAACAGTCATAAAATTTTGCTTATGAAATTATGTTGAAATATCAGTGTCGTCAACTATAACTTAGTGTTCGTAGATTCCATAGTTAAATTAAAAAAATGAAAGTTCTAGACACAATTCTACGTTGCAAACTTGGAATTGGAACATCCTTGTTATGTGCCTCTATGTTGGCATTAATGCAGCAGTCACATCTTATTTGCAGGGCCGGGGTTCAAAAAATTCCATGTTCATACAGTCTTTGAGGGGCGATCCATTCAGGGTGAGAATTTGTCTTATGCACTCTTTTGATATTTGTGACTTCTGAAATTGATGAATTTGCAGTTTATATGTCTATCATATTTTTAAATTTTAATTCTTTTTGTTATCTTTCTTGAAATTTTACTTATTTGCACCTCACGAAATTTCTTGCTTTAATATCTCAGTTGAAATTATGTTGACAAAGAAATATTTTTGTGTTATTTCAGAATATGTTCAACATGAGGTAAAAGAAAGTCATGATTACATGCAGTAGATTTCTACTCTATATATCTTCATTATCTCTAATAACTTGAATTTCTTTTTGATTTTTTGATGCACTGAAACTGTATGAAATGGTCATCATATTACCTTGTTAAATCTGTTTCGACAATCCTTCTTGGTAGTTATAAAATTTTTACTATTGTCTTTTAAATATCATTAGTGTTCTCTCTGTAATTGATTCAGTTAATATGTGCAACTTTTTAGCTGCGTTGTTTATGCTGGTTCAACATAGGTCAGCTTCTGAACTTTTAAAATGGTTGTTGATATACATCTTCATAGATAATGGTACCGCACAGTGCACTCTATCTCCAAATTGTTGTGATGGTCATTGCCTAATGAGGTTAATTTGGTCTTGTTCTCCCGTCTGCAATCATAAAAATTTTAATGGTCATCTAGATGTTAAAACTCTATAAGTTCGATCAGTTGTTCACTTTAGACTTCTATGTAGCTTAAGAGCCAGGATCTCCCTGTGCGCTATAAGGTTGGATCTAATTAGACATTATCTGCTTGAACCAAGATAATACAACATCAAGTCAAAAATGAATGTGACAAAGTAGAGTCCTGTAGGATGTATGCAGTAGAATTGTGACTGTAGTCACTATACTGGTGCTTGAGTTATATTTTGTAATAGACCCTAAGTCAACAATTACTGTGGCAAAGTAGAGTTCTGTAGGATGTCTGCAGTCGAATTGCGGCTTTCTTTGCTCTATTGGTGCTTGAGTTATGATGTCTTCAAATTCAAGAAAAAAAAAGACCATTACCATGAGTTAGCCATAAGATCCATGCTAGTAGGAAGACTGTGATTTTGAGGAACTCTATATGATTGTAGATCATATAAACTGTCTCAATTGTCCATAATCATTAACTAACCTTTAGTACCTTGCGACGATCCCCATGTGGATCTAACCTCGATCTTGCAGAGATTTAGCTTTGATACTTGTGTATCTGGCCTAGATCCCTTGATGCTTGTGGATTTATGTCAGATTGGCATGGATATAGGCTGGATGCACAAGAATTTTGGTAAGATCTGAACAGATCTTTGCAAGATTTTGATGGATTTTATATTAAATCCGTTAACATATAGTTCAGAATCATTCATTAACTCATGTAGCCATCATCTATAAACTTGAGAAAAATCCTAAATCATCTGAATTCATGATATCATTATTTGAAGGAGAAACAATCATAAGAATGCAACTTCATTCTGAGAAATTAGGCAAATGAATGCCAATTTGAGGTTTGGATTTACCTTTTCCATATAAAAGGTGGGATGATTTTTTGAGAACGAACCTTCAAATGCTTGAGATTGGTCTTGGAATAAAGAGAAATCAATTTTGAGGAGTGGGATTGAGAATGTTTGTTGAAGAAATGGGGAAATAATGGATTGAAATTGAGAGACAAGTGTAGAAATGAGGGGAAGAAGATTATAAAGAGGCCAATGAATATATTTTATTATTTGGAAACTGGCGGTATGTTTACCATCTGGGTTGGTATCACTAGGTTCAAACCAGAATGGTGAAATTCCCAGTTTGTGTGCTGGTCCCCTATTGGACCAGTAAATACTTCCGATTGGATGGTAGGGCTGGTATTTGAATCATTGTGAGGAATTATGTTAGAATTTGCAGGTTGACCAAGCAAATGAGTTAACGGAGAATTAGTTTTCTTGAAATGTCATTTCTGGCACTTGTGATTGTAAAACAAATAGGAATATTCATCAGCCAGTAATACAAAGTAGGATCAAATGTTGGTCTTAGAAATTAAATCAGAAATCATGTGGTCAAAGGTGCATTTCAGCTTTGAATACAAGTATTCTGAAATTGTACATAGTTCAAGACATATTTACCATGTGTTTTAGCAGCAGTAAAGCCATAAGTCTTAACTATTTGGGTTCGACTCTATGGATTTTTACCGCCGTTGAGATCTATAAACAGTCATATGTTTAGTTAAATTTAGACCACTTAAATATTGATATAGAATTTCTATTAAAATCTTTTTAGGTTTTCCTCTACCTCTTCTTGTACCACTAATGTTAATCATTTGATCTCTTTTAACTATCGCATCTATAGGACACCTGAGCACATGTTCGTACTATCTTAAACGATTGTCTCTCGTCTTATCCTTCATCGAAGCGATACCTAATTGGTCACAAAGAAAAATATAATTTTTTTTTATCTTTCATAGTAATTCCACACATCCATCTCAGCAATGCAAAATTTTTTTGTATATGTTGTTTCTTAACGGTCCAACACTCAGATCCATAAAATATTGTTGGTCTCATAATTTTGTTATAATTTTTTTCAATCATAAAGATATCCAACGATTACACAAGACTCTTGATGCCCCTCACAACTGTTTTATAAATTTATCACGTGTTTTAACAAGTTGTAAAATTTATTATGCAGAGACAAAAGATGGATTTAGCAGTTGACAACAAATAATGCTAAACTATAACCTGAAGTTGGACATTTTCAAATGTCAACTCCTCACTAGGATGGTTAAATTAAAGTTGCTGAACTACTTGGATTTCAAAGCTCCAATGGCAATATCTTGAACAACTGGATGTCTCGCATACTTTTACTTTGGCAACTTGCATAATTAGATTTCAGTTTTTGTGCATCTTTGGGTTTTCAAAATGGTCATTCTTGGAGTTTGTGGAATTTGTAGAAAGAAGGATAATAGAAGAACAGAGGTCAGATACTTTAAAAAGGTTACATACCACGTAAAATTTTAGCAGTCTAATAATAACTTTATTGCATATAGTAGTACTAAAATGATTGGTCAAAATTTGCCAAAAAGAATTTGTTCTCTGTTTTCGCTATTGTGATAGTATCCTCCTTCCCGGTGTTACAATACCCTTGTTATAAAATTTGCAAGAACGAATGGAACCATGGGGCAGCTTCCCAACCAGTCTGCATTAGTGTGCAAAGTCTACATATGATTTTCAGGCATACTTTTTTGTTATTTTTATCTCATCTGTTAACAATGCTTATTTGTTGCAGGATTTTCACATGAGTATCTTAGCAGCATACTGGCACCCATTTACTAAATCTGAGATCGTGAAGGTAGTTATATTTTGCTTTTAATTCTCATCTATTATGGCCAAAATCTAACACCTACATCCTCTTGAAGTTGCTCATCTGAAACCACCTATTTTGCAATTCTTCTGCAGGTAAACTTGTTGCAAACTGAGGAATGCAACGAAGAAAACACATCTGGTCAGTGTGCCTTGGCTTCATCTGGAATGGGGGGTTAAATATCGAGATTTCTCTTCTCGGAGGTGATTTTATAATGTGTAAAGTGAATTGCTGATTTGCTGGTCATTCCAAAATGTCCAACCGGAGCACAGCTATAGCACCCCTGATACTGACCTTGCTGTTCATATTGCATATAAATTATTCCTCTATCTGATGCCAGCAATCTTTGGTGTAAATATCTTTGTTTTATGATCAATAGTTGTATGATGTATGCTGTTCATAGTGTTTCTGTAAAGATTAAGAAACTTCTGTAGGAATATGTAAAGATTAACTTGTGCTTCAGCAGTTAGTTCTTTCACTGTACCAATAACTATATTGTGGGTAAAGTGATATTCAAAGGTGAGAAATGTTGCTCATTGTCACATTAAATTCTGTAATGCTAATGTTATGTTGCAACTGCTCACTTACAGAAATTTCTTTCTAGAACTAGAGAGAATTGTTATTGTTTTGCTCAAAATCTCTTACTTGTTGATGCACCACTACCTCCAACAAAAATCAGAATGAAAGCATTTATATTCTTATCAATAGAAAATTTTGAGAACTGAGAGGGTTTTAGAAAGAATAAATTGAATTTTATTTATCTAATGAAGAATAAGAGAAAAAGATTTAACTTTGCACTTAAGAAAAAAAAACTAGAATATCCCTTGCTTTACATTTCCCTTAGAATAATTGTTCTTAGAAAAATAAATTTGAATAACTATGGATAATTGCCTAGAAAAACCTCTCATTCTTCCTCTTTTCCCACATATCTGTCCCCCTTTAAAATTATTTAAAATTAAAATTAAAATTTGTTTTACAAAATCTCATTTTTATCATTTATTTTTTTTATAGAAAATAAAATAATATATAAATTAAAAAATAATGATAAACTAACAAAATAAAATAAAATATTATTTATATATTTGAAAAATAATAACACATAGTATATAAACCATTAAATATTAAATATTAATTAAATATAGTGTCCTTTTAATAACACATCAAATAAGAAAATATTAAATGTTTATTTTATTATATTATATTAAGTAGCATTATAATAAAATATGATGTCATTATATCACGGGCAAATGTCACATCGTCCATAATGTTTTTTTTTTAAAATAAAAATAAAATTTTATTACATCGATCATTTATGCAATAATACACCAACGAATCAACACATTCGTAGTTGTAGATGTCGCTTGTGCTCGCTTGACGACTCTCCCGCGCACGCTAAAGAAACGCCGAAGGCGGCATGAATCAAAGCGGTGTGCGTTTCGAAATGGTCATCCAAACGTTCGAACGCACGATGCATGTACTCAATCTAGGTTTATTGGGCACGCCGAATCCAGAAGATCTCTGTCCCGGATCTAGTAGGGCTTCTAACCTTTCCCCCTTAATCTCAGGAATCAAAGGTACGCTGACGTTCCTTCCTATTTCGCTGTCGTATGGATCTCTAACCCCGATCCCTTTCGTTCCGGTTCTTGGATTTGTCGGCCAATTGTCCTGGAGTGCGACTGTCGCGTTGGATTAGGCTACAAGATTGGGTTTTGGGGCTGTGCCTTTGGTTGAATAGCGGAGACCCGAGGTAGTTATACCGAGTCCGTGCTAAAAAAATCTGATTTTTTCTTTTGGCCAGAATTGGTATGTCTACAAGAATGCTTCACTGTCTGTCGAATTTTCCTGCTTGCCGGCGGACTTCTGCTTTGCTTGAATGCTGGTAGTTCTTCGATTCGTTTCCTAACTTGGGTGAGAGGTCCTACGAGAGCGTTTCATGTGGGGGAAGCAAAATTGCTTCTTTTCTCTTTGGATTGATGATCGTCATAGCAGTTTCTGTTTCCAACAAAGACTGGTGTTTTCGACTTGTGCACGTTTCTGAATCAAACATTTTTTAACAAATTTTAGACATTTTCTTGTTTTACCTTTCTGTTTCCTAAATATTTATGGAAATTCTTGTACTAACTGTAAGTTTGGATCTGTATGAGAATATTGATAATTGCTATATGCCTTTTGCTTTTCCTGGTGCAGGACTTAATTCTGGGAGGACAGTACCCTGGATACGTCACTCAACCTGTTGCCGTAGTCTTGGGAAATTAATCTTATATCAAAAGATCACTTTTCTTTCCAGTTTTGTCAATCTATAAAATCATCTGCTCTTTGCGGCTTGTGATAGTTATTTACTAGTGAGTCTGAGTTGATTACAATGAATACACTCGTGCATGCTGCAAATCTTGCTCTTTTAGGTATGGTACCTTTGCTAATATCTATCTAGATCTTTTGGTTTGGAAAACTGATTTATGTTTGGATGAGTATTCAATTTCAATTTTTTCTGGGGAACCAAGTATCTCTTTGATTATAATAAACTGAAACAGTTGTATCTGTTCCATAATTATGCTCTTGTTACAATGTTCAAGAAGTTTTAAGTTCATTAATTCTTCTCACACACACACATTGTTAGTGAAATATGGTATATTTAGACACACACACACACACACATTGCTTAGGGGATATATTATTAGTGAAATATGGTATATTTAGACACACACACACACACACACACACACACACACACACACACACACACACACACACACACACACACACACACA